GCTGACCCAGCCACACAGCTGGTAATTGGTGGGGCCAGGATTTGCTGGCAGGAAAGATTCCAGAGCCTGAGCTCTCAACCACCATGCATGTGTAAGCTCATATACATGCTTGAAGGTACATGCATGTACCCTTTGGTTTATACAGTGTAAAACCAAAGGAAATTCTGTTTCTTTGTTACTAATGTTGTGGCCCCACCCCATAACAAAGAAACAGAATTTCTGGAGGATGAGGCCCAGAAATCAGGATTTTAAAAAGATTCCCAGGTGATTCTAATGTGCAGCCAAGGTTGAGAACCACTGCCTTAGAGAAATAGTTCTCAAGTGAGCAAGTTTCAGAATCACCTCCTTAAAGCCCAGATCTCTGGATCCACAACAGAGCATCTAGTTCAGCAGCTCTGGGATCTGCATTTCTGCACGATCCAGAGGCTGCTGCCACTACTGGTCCTGGGACCTCACCGTGAGAGCCACGCGGGACTGTAAACTGGACACGTTAAGGCCCATACGCCCCTCTGCAGTCCTATTACCTAAACGCTCCCAGTAAAGCCTGGACACACACATTCCCAATGGGGTCACTCTTACCCGATCACTTGTTCTTAAATAACTCTCTTTGGCTCCCAGCAACAGAACCAGAAGGTGGTGGGCAGATTCTAAAAATGCCCTCCTCCAAAAAGGAGTCCACACTCCTCATCCCCCAGAACCTGAGGCTGTGATAAGAATATCATTCCTGTGACTGTGCTGTTATAAGGTACCGTTGATGTAAAAAAGGGATTATCTGGGTGAGATTTTAATCACACAGGTCCTTAAAAGCAGAGAACTTCTATGGTTGTCGCAGCAGGAAAATAAGGCAAAAGGGGAAGGTAGAATGATTGGCAAGGAGATCTGGATTTTGAGAGTGTGCAGCCGTATTGAAGGTGGGGAGGGCCACGGGAGAAGGAAAGTAGGTGACTGCTAGAAGCAGAAGTAACCTCTGCCAGGAAAGGGGGCCCGCAGTCCTACTCCGCACAGGGCTGAACTTGCCAACAATCAAAATGAGCTTAGGAATAGTCTTCCCTAGGACCTCCGGCTAAGACTGACGTCTGATCTACAGAACTTTGAGCTGGTAAACGAGGGTCGTTGTAGCCTCTGTGTGTGGTCAAAACCACAATAGAAATCAAATACACAAGCACACAAACCCCTGAGATCAGGAGGGAGCCACTGCCCAGTGCAGACCCATCCCATCCAGGAGAGCCTCAGACCACGAGCTGGGCCCCTGGGAGGCTCACCTTGTTGTTTGCTGAAAACGTCAGTGGCTGTGACCTACATTCCATCTCCATCAAGGTAACATTCAGTTTCATCTAAAAAAAAAATCTAAAGGTTGTCTGAGAGATCACCTTGAGAACGGGTGGCCCCAGCGACCCTCAGCCGACACAGGCTGGCCCGAGACCACAGACGGATCCCCTCGTCAGCAAGAGTGTGCCCTTCATGGAAGAGCAGTTTGAAAACAGTTTAGCAAAACAGATTGTCCTCCTGCGCTGCTGCTCGGTCACATAACATCCTTTCCTGTTTCTGAGATTAATCATCTATAGAGCTGAGTCCTGTCCCTCAGCAGGATGCGAGGAAACTCAAGCGAGAGGATGGGATGAACGTGCAGGGTCATTCGGCAATGATTCCTGCACCCCCAGATATTCTTATGATTCTTGTAACAAAGTCAAATGCGTGAGGACAGTTTTGGTTCTCAGCATGACCATAGCACCGCTATGATAGTATAGCTATGGTCCAACCACTATGTCTTTTTACTGTAAAAGGCAGATATAACTATCTGCCACCATAGTCAGATACAATTCAAGTAAGGGGAACAGGTAGCCGTGGATAATCCCTACTATTGAGGTTCTCCCCCAACACCTCCCTCCAACTGACTGACAGATGGGACATTCACTGAAGTGCAGGTTCATCTCTCAGGGCCGAGGTGCCCCATCTGTTCCATCAGGGCCTTTCCCAGATGCAGCCATTCTCTCACCACAAGTGCTGGAGGGCGGCCGCTCAGCACATGGGGCTTTGCTCATGTTCCCCATAAGCCTGTACCCTCAGCACGCTGCAGGCACAGAGCTGGTCAGGCATGGCTTTTGGACCCTCTCCGTGACAGCTGCCCGCTTTGCTGCTTTAGCCCCGATGACCAGCCATGACAGGGAGGAGGACTCAGTGTGGGGCCCCAGGACTGAGTACCGTATCCTGGATTCCCAAGCAGAGCCAGGAGCTGTGCGTTCTGATATTTTCCTCTCACAGTAACTGGATTCAGAGTTGAATCCAAGGACCAGCTTCCTTGATGGATCATACCCTCCTGACCACTTCTGCTTTTGTTGATTTTCTCCCCATTGCAAACGATGGTGGCCAGTGACAGGGTTCTGCTGTGCAGAGCAGAGCACCCAGCCCCCTTCCTGCTGCTTTGTTCTTTTTCCCCAGCCGCCTCTCTGAGCCTCCCCCTCCCACAGTGTGCGAGGGATAAGGGAAGCCAAGCAGTGTCATTTCTATTCAAATGTTTGGGAAGAAATTCTTTTTGAATTCTGGAAATCTTGAAGGGTTTTGAGCCACATATTTGAAAACAGAACCAGCAGATCACTGTTTTTCCATGTTATCCAAGCTCATGGTTTTGTTTTATTTTATTTTGCCTTTTCTGTGCTTTGAGTCGTTGAAATATTTGGCACTTTTTTTGTTATGGGAGACCTGGTGGTATTTCATGTGTGGTCAAATCAAGTGGCTATGGCCTACACTGCTGTGAAATAGGTTATACCGTAGGATCATGGTCTGAGCACACACACACGACCTCCACAAAGCAATTTACTTCCTACCATGACATATTTAATCAACTGTTTTGCTAACAAATACAGGACTGTGCTGGTTTCATTTCCCAGGAGTTGTCTGATAAGCTCTGAAAACTCTGTTTTTGTCATTTTAGTGTCACTTTTCATTCATCTCTTTGAACTGTCATCATTTCAAAATTACAATTTTTAACTAGGAATGTGGACTGGTGGTTAAAAGCAGGCGGTTTGATATGTAGGTCTGAGAAACAGTGAAAATATACAAGAAACTCAGGAAAATTCAGAACGTGACATTCTTGATGGCTGTGACAGAGTGTTGCCCCACCATCAGGAACTTGCCAGTAAATAAGAATGAGTGAGTGAGGACACAACACGGTTGATCTAAAGTCTTGGGACACCCTTGGATGTCCACATGGACAAAAATTCAAACAGTATCACAGACTAAACAGTGACAAGTCAACAACACTCCTCTGGGCAAGATTGTATTTCCAGAGAACGGCAGTGATATCTCCTGTCCCACATGTTCTTCTGCACGGTGACACTGACATTCTTCCCAGAAAGGAAGAACCTAATTTCCTTCCTTTAGTGTCTGGCTTGGCTTAGTGACTTGCTTAAGCAATAGACTGAAATGGGGGAGACCACTCCAGTTGCAACACACTCCATCCTTGCTGCTCAAAGACATATCTGGGAAGATACTTGAGGGGGTCATCTGCTTGGTTTCCCATCTGGTTGGCAGTGAAGTTGGAGACTGCAGGCTTTGTCCTGTAGTAGGAAGAGGCATTTTAGTGGACAGAAAAGTTCCCTGGTCTCCCAGGAGCACTCGGGATTAACTTGGAGTCGGGTTTCCAACGATTCCTGATGACAAGAGCCACCCGGGGCACTATTCTCCCCTGGAAATTTTGGTTCTGTTTTTCTGAGTTGGGAGCTCAGATTTTACTTTTTTAAAAAGTGGATTTTTATCACCAGGGAAGTTTGGGAAGCCTTGACTTAGGGCAAGAGAGCAACTCTTTTCCTTCTGCTCAATGTTGCAAAAAAAGGAGCTGATATAATATTTAACCACTGAAGAGAGACATCTGCTTGCATAAGCTCTGTCGGGGAAAGAATGAGGGCCACAGTTACTATTCTGAGGAGGAGGAAATTCATGGGGTTGCTTTGAAGAGGTTCTATAGTTATGAATGACAGGTACTGTCGCTGAAGATGGGGCTTTCTTCTCTAGATGAGCTTGGGTTTGATTGCAAAACACAGCAGGCTTGACAATGCAGCTGTTTACTTCACCCCGAGGCCAGGGACTGTGCTGCCATCATGGAGGGAGGGTCTGAAGCATGTGTCCCCAGACGCTAGGTCATGCCTGATGCTCATTCAGCCTCCACCAATGATGCGGGGCATGGGAAGGTTTCCTGTGGCACCCCTCCTCTGCTGCAGTTGGAATCAGTCCCCAAATGCTGAAAGCAAAAGGCACATGGGAAGTGGGGAGGAGTGCACACATGGTCAAGTCTGCTTATTTCTTTAATCTTCACCCAGATATATTTTCCATTGATTGTTAGAGAGAGGGAAAGAGAGAGGGAAAGACGGAGAGAAATATCGATGTGAGAGAAACACATTGATTGGTTGCCTCCTGCGTGCGCCCTGACCAGGGCTAGGTCTGGGGAGGAGCCTGCAACCGAGGTATGTGCCCTTTAACTGGAATTGAACTGGGACCCTTCCATCGGCAGGCTAATGCTCTATGCACTGAGCCAAACCAGCTAGGGCAAGTCTGCCTATTTCTAATGAGCTGACCAGCAGGAAAATTGGGGTTGATACATCAAGGGACCCTGGAGGTCCCGCTGCCATTTCTACAATCCTGGTTTTGGTAAGACACAACAGGGCCTTGGAACAGTGCCTAAGTGTCTAGAAAAGCACCTCCTGGCATATAAGGCAGCTCAATAGACACGCTGAGAATGAGCGAATGAATGAATGTGAATGAGAGACAGCTTGAATTGCAAAACGGAGACCTTCAATTATTGACAATTATGAGAAAACTTCAGGCTTCATTTCTCAGAACTTTATTCTTCTACACAAAGTTCAGGCCTCTGCCTGTTCTACTCTGTTAACCACAGGGGCCCAAAGTTCTCCCATAACTAATCTGAACCTGTGATCGCTTGCTCTGCTCTTAGGAGCTCTCACACTCCCTTTCCCTTCTAAGGAACGGGTGATTGTGTGAGGACGATGGAGCAGGGCAGCAGGCCCTTGGAGGACTTCCCTGTCAACGTGTTTTCCGTCACTCCTTACACACCCAGTACCGCGGACATCCAGGTGTCCGACGATGACAAGGCAGGGGCCACCTTACTCTTCTCAGGCGTCTTCCTAGGACTGGTGGGGATCACGTTCACCATCATGGGCTGGATCAAATACCAAGGGATCTCCCACTTGGAATGGACCCAGCTCCTCGGGCCCATCCTGCTGTCGGTCGGGGTGACGTTCATCCTGATTGCTGTGTGCAAGTTCCAAATGCTCTCCTGCCAGTTGTGCAACGAGAGTGAGGAAAGGGTCCTTGACACGGAGCAGACGGCAGGAGGACAGTCATTTGTTTTCACTGGTATCAACCAGCCCATCACCTTCCATGGGGCTACTGTGGTGCAGTATATCCCTCCCCCTTATGGCTCTCAAGAGCCCATTGGGATGAACACCGCGTACCTGCAGCCAGTGATGAACCCTTGCTGCCTCACACCACCTGGAGTGGTGGCCGCTGCCACGCCAAGCCCTCCTCAGTACTGCACCATCTACCCTTCGGAGAACTCTGCCTTTGTTGACGACCAGGACTACCCTGCCTTCGTGGATGGTGGAGATGACAGGTACGGTGTCTGTGGTGGGGATCCTCCCCTTCCCGCAGTCACAGCCATAGTCGATGGCTCTGTTTGCTCTATAAGGAAGGTGGTGGGCGAATGCAATCTCTGTGTGGCCTGTTGCCAGGCAGGTGGCGTTGGTTCTGGGAGCGGTGCTGTGGGCTGTAACGCATCTGTGTTTTCCGCTCACATTTCAGGTCCAGCCCTGATGCTGAGCTGCTAGAAGAGACGCAGCGGGGAGGTGAGGACTCTGCTGGCTTCTCTCCTCCCCCCTATGAGGAGATATTCTCCCTCCCTCGATAGAGACTAATGCTGAGGGAGTAGCCTGAAGTCACTGTTGCTGACAAATGAAGTGTTCTAGGCTGCAACCTTCAGGAGGCAGACAGCAGAGCAGCCCCAGCAGCCTGACAGACACCATTGAAGCGGGGTGGGAGGTGAAATGTCTCAAATTGGTAAAAATGAGGCTGGGGTGGAGAAATTACCTTCTGATACAGCGAGGGATCCCCCGTCTACAGTTCACCAGCAGCATGCCTACCAGCAGGAATCTCAACTGTTTATCCACAGCAGTGAGAGTGGGGGTGGGAGGGAGGCAGGGAAGAGAAAACTGTGGCTTTCCCAGGGCCCTTCTCAGTTCCCAGGGTACATTTGCATATCCCATCAGGTGTCCCCGAGGACTCTGGGTATCTTAATGGCTGCAATAAACAAACGAATAAATGGAATAAAAAATAAAGAATATGTTCTGTTGGGATATTGGATAGGTGTCTAAACCATACAAAATAAGTAGGATAGGACAATGATGTCATTAGATACTTAAGTTATCATTGGGTCGCAGGGACTCTTGGCTGCTGATGCTCTTGTGGGAAAGTTTAGGCTTGATGTGTCCGCCCAGGTTGGGATCAGTGCTGGGCACGAGCTGCCTGGGCGCAGTGCCGGCAGAACCCGGGACTTCTCTCGGCACCTCACAAGAGTTCTGTGGAGTTAGACAGAACGGAGCTGCCATGCCAACACCTGGGAAATCATGGATCGTGGAAACAATCGTTATAGCCAAGACAAGCTCATCTCTTTTATAAAAAACACACACTGTTGCCCTTAATTTCCATGAATCCGGACTATGTAACAAACAACCAGAACAGACTCACAGACTGTGGAAGAGACAGTTAAAATCATCAGGTTTTAAAAGAAAAGATTTTCCTTAGGCTACAAAGGGAGGCTTACCCAAACAAGACAGGAGTTAGCCGTTCTTTAAAGTTTTGGTACTATTTTTATCAGAAATATCTAGTTTTCCAAGAATGTGATTCACATAGGCCATGGTACATTATTGTGATTTGTATTCTATCTTGGGAACAAAATCTTTTCCTATGAGAATTCATTTTCATGTTCGATCATAGGATGTGATGGAAAAACATAGTTCTGTTCACAGAAACTAGCTTTATATTCATTTCATGAAATACTGGACTCCGAGCTGGGGGCCATGGGCTCTGGGCAGGAAGTTGAGTGACGGGGACATGGTTGAACATCACCAGCAGCACGCCTACCAGTAGTGACACTCAGAGGCCTGCATGCCCGCCTCCCTCACCCCTTTCCCTCCTCACTCTCACCCACCCTGCGGCTTGATGTTCCTGGGCTGGGGTTTGGCATGAAGGGATGCCCAAATTGGAAAAAGATGTTAGGAAAGGATGTCCGTGTGAAAGCCGGGAGGGTAGGACAGCCAATTTTTCTGGGTGACACCAGGAGTCCCATATGCAAGGACGTGGCCCGGGGGAGTTTGTAGCTCCAGAAACTGTCCCTGTTCTAAGACAGTGAAAAAGCGCTAACCGTAGAGGTAACTGGTGCTTCTGAGGACAGTGCGTCAGCGCTAACTGCTTCGGGAGCTCAAGATGGGGGGCTGGCCTGCAACAGTTGGGGGTCAGCAAATGGGAATGTGTTCATTCCGTCAGTATTTGTTGACTGAGCATCTACTCTGGGTCAGGACCGGGGCCAAGGGGCATATGACAGTGAAAAACCAAACCAACAGACAGCAGATATGGCTCTGCCCTTGCAGAGCTTCACCGATCATTATTCTCTGACACCAAAGAGGGGTCCTGAACTAGTCAGGAGAGTCACAGAGTTTGCTTGGGGAGTGCAGTCAAGGCCCTCGCCACACCTAGCCCCAGGGAGTCACATTTACAAGGGTAGCCAGGTGGCTGGTGTTCTGGGCTCAGAGGACTGTCCTGGGAACTGAGTAGCCGATACCTGTACAAGGAGGAGGGGACGCCTGGCACATCCCCTGAGTGGGAGAGGTCTTAGGGCTGCCCGGCAGGCTGTGTAAGCCTGTATATCGCTGCTGCCACCGCCCTCAGACAGAGCTGCCTTCCAGTCCCTGACCAGTTACACCCACCAGCTCTCTTGCCTCAGGGCAAGCCCACAGTGCTCTTTCTGTCTTTGTGTGGGGATTGCAGGGGCAACATGACAGGAAGCCCCGAGTGGCCCCTGAACTCAGACACTAGGTCTCTGCCTGGTCCGTGACCAGCGAGGGCGCATTCCTGGCCGAGTGTCTGGTTTGTGGTCTGGGTGTTGCCATTCTCTCTCCTCTCAGCATCTTATGGGGCGAATAGAGAACTGGGATGTGGGAATGATGGACTGGAGTTTGGCCCAGCCACGCTATCCACCCCAAGGTTATGGTGTGGGAAGGGCCCTGCCATTGTCCACGTGCTCAAAGGCTCAGTGTCCAGGCCAGAGCCCGGGGCCTCGTCAGCCCTGTCAAGCATTTTGGTAGGTGTCCGCAGGGCAGCTGGGAAGCCACAGAAGGGTTTTAATAATGCCCGTGACCTGACTCTGAGCACTTGCTCACTCTGGGCAAGACCCAGAGGCATAGAGGGTGTAACATTGGTCTTGCTGGCAAAGCTCAGACCTAAGTGACCAGAGCACCAGCGGACCTCGGTCTCCTCCACCTCAGCCTCCATGAGGCCATGCGGGTAGGCACTTTCTGGTGAGCTACACGGAATTCAAAATAAAGCTACGAGGTCTTGTTAATCCAAGGAGACAGATGTCTTAAGAACCTGAGGTTCTCTAGAAACCTCCTGCCAGCCCCTTGGGCTCCTTTTGGCTGGAGAGATGGCAGGCAGCTAACAGTCCTGATGGACCGGGGAAGGGGTCCTCCAGGCCTGGGAAATGAGGCCCAGACACAAGGGGAAGACACTCTCATGAAGCTCTTAGCCCTCCTTTCTCCCCTGGGACCAACGTGTGGCCCTGCACCCGCCCTGGGGCAGAGCTCCGAGGTCTTTCAGGGGCAGAGAACTTCCCAGGGATTGCAATTGCCTTCTCTTTTGCTCCACTGAGCCAGGCACGGGTCTAAATTTCAAATGCGCCGTAGCTCTCTGCAACACAGCCAAACCTTTTGCTCTACCTATTTTTTTTTGGGGGGGGGGGCGGGGGCGGGGTACAGTATGAAAACAAAGACTCTTATTTGTGAAGAGCTGGCCAGGGGTGTCTGTTTTCAGCTTCTGACCCCCGGGCCTTCTCCTCGGCGTGTTTACTGTTGGGTCAGTGGAGTAGGGTTGCCATGAAGCCCCACACCCCTGGGCAGGTGGTGTTTCTCCTCCAAACAGAAACTCCTCGCAGTGGCCTTCTTACCCACAGAGAGAAGAGGGGTTCACACACATCACTGAGGTGACTGGGCCTAGTGCTCAGGAGTGTGCCCGTCTGTCCCGGTAACTGTCTGCAGCTCCAGCACTCAGCACTCACCAAAGGCCTCATTCAGAGCCCTCTGCACAACTCTTGGTGCCTGTTGAATAACAAATGTGAAATGAGTAAACGAACTCTTCAAATAGGTAAGGACCGCTCTAGCTCAACTTAGCTGTTTCATTGTTTTCTACATTATGAAAAATTTCAAGTAAATACAAGAGTAGAGAGAATAGTATATGAAACCTATGTAGCCATCACCTAACCTCAACTCATGGCCAATCTTGTTTCATTTATACCCCCAACCACAGTCCCTCAACTGGAGTTGTAAAGCAAATCCAAACCATTAAATCATTTCATTCTAAAATACTTCATGTGTATTTTTAAAAGATAAAGATTGAAGAAAATAAACACAAACCAACAACACCATTATTACACCTAAAAAATTTACAATTCCTTAATGTCATTAAGTATCTAGTCAGTGTTTAACTTTCCCCAATTTTCTACTTTAAAAGAAATGTTTTTATTGATTTTTAGAGAGAGAGAGGAAGGGAGAAGGAAAGAGAGATAGAAACATTGATCAGAGAGAAACATCCTCAGTTGGCTGCCTCCTACATGCCCCCTACTGGGGATTGAGCCTGCAACCTGGGCATGTGCCCCAACTGGGAATCAAACCAGTGATCTCTTGGTTCATGGGTCTACACTCAACCACTGAACCACACAGGCCAGGACAGCCAATTTTCTACTTTTTATTTTTACCTCTTTGTTTTGTTTGAATCAGGATCCATTCTGCTAAATGCGCCTACATTTCTAGTTGTAGTACACTATGTTTTGGGACATAGACAATTGGCACCCTATTCATGGTAGCAGATCCATATTTATTAAATTTCACTTTCCAAACAAAAATGTTTTTCAAGATTTTTTTTACTCCATATCTCCTTCTCTGTCGGTTCCCTGAAACTCTAGGTATCCTTTGGAATTGGAAACTTCCCCCCCTCCCTACTTTTAGCATATTATAATATTTTTCTAAATGCAGGCCCAGAAAAAATTATACATGAAAAGAAAAATACCTTTAAGTGAGTGTTTAGTTGAGAAATATCTGTTGCAGATTAGTTTCAAAAGTATCAGAAAACGCTGACAACCTTTAGCATTTTTGGCTTGGTCAGTAAAACTTAAAAAAAAATTTTTTTTTCCTCCAGAGACCAGAAAAACTCCTTTGAACTTATCTAAAGTGGGAACTAGAGTCTCCTCCTTAAGAAATAAAGGGCAGAGCCTCTTGCTCTATATTAAAATGTTACCTGGTGTAATTTAACTTCTAGAGGTTATTGACTGTGGGCCTCTTACCAATAAGTTCTCAATTTCAAGTTAAAAGTGAATCTATTTTCTGCATATGCCTGCAACTCTTCCTTTGAAGGTGAATGTGTGTGTGTGTGTGTGTGTGTGTGTGTGTGTGTGTGAGAGAGAGAGAGAGAGAGAGAGAGAGAGAGAGAGAGAGAGAGAGAGAGAGAGAGAATGTGATCCCCTACACTCCCTTCGTATAGTATGTGATTTATGGATTTCTTGCTCACTTACTACTTGTAAATCATCATGAGTTTTATGTCCCAAGCAGTCAGCAGTTGGTTATAAAATCAACAGCAAGTGAACTAAATAAACCCTGACTGGCTTACTCTCAGAATTGATGACAAATCAGAACGTGAAGACAACGCCACAGAAACATTCTCACCTGCCTCTGGGATGCCGCAAAGGTCTCAGATAGGGGAATTTTATTTGTCTTGAGCTTTTGGGAAGATTAATAACCAGATGAACTGGGAAGGAAATCCGTTTTCTGGATTCCAGAAGT